GTTGACATTTTTTTGTTGTTTGTTTTATCAATGAGTGTGCTCATTGATCCTGACTTCCTCATTTTGATTTACTTTGTAAAAAAATCAGCATAAATTGTTTTATTCATTTTTGTTTTGTAGGTCAAAGTGTTTTATATAACACTCCTGAGTTAAAATGTTGCTGATCAATTTGAATTTATTATTTATTGATTATATTTAATTTTAGTTTTCAGTATCAAATGGTCATAAATGTTTACAGTTTAAAAAATGATTTTTTTTAGGCAAATTGTTGCACTGTAAGTTGTTTCTGTTACTAAGAAAACAATGTTAATAAAGTTATTCTTTGTTGTAAGTTGATCTATATTCTTTTTTCTTTAATGTTAATAAGGACACAATGTTAGGCAGAGGCGTACTTGTAACAATTTTATAGACATACTATTTACAGTCGCGGTGGAGAGTTGGGGGGGGGGGCGAAATGTTTACTTCTTTCTGGGGGGGGCACATCAGAAAATAATTGAGAAGCACAGCATTAAAACAAGATAAAGAGTACTCCATGAATCAACTCCTGGAATGTACAGCAAAAGTCATGGATGTCACTAGGCCTGTCATGATAAACAATCATTTAATCTTATAATAAATTAAAATTATCTACCTGATTTTCATTTATCGGCTTTATCGTTTCTTCGTGTCTCTCTTTATACTGAAGACACTGGATGACAAAAGACTCAACTCTGGTGCTCTTCAATTCAATTCAATTCAATTCAATTCAATTCAATAATACTTTATTTATCCCAGAGGGAAATTATTTTGTTGTTGTAACTCGTTATCCTCATTTCATTAAGAGATGTTATAGATACTGTAGACAGGAAGGATCTCTTGTAAAGGTCCATCCCACAGTGGATCCTAAGAAACTGGCTGCAGATGCCCTCCGATCCGTCCACCCAGAATTGGCTGGCCTCTCGGTTCCCCTGGACTGCAGGACCGCTTGAATGCTTGGCAGAACTCCTCCCAGCACGATGGCCACTCCTCCCAGAAGTCTGCCGAGCTCCTCGTTGCTGCGGACAGCCATCTGTAGGTGCTGAGGGACGATCCCGTCCATCCGCTGCCATGAGCCGTGTTTCCTGCTAGTTCCAGGATCTCAGTGGTCAGGCACTCGAGCACAACTGGCAGGTAGATGAGAATGTGTCCACAGAACATCCTTTTCAACTCATTTGAGAGTTGGGGCCATAGTTGAGATATTATTTGAGCTTTTGAGATGTTATTTAGCTGCTGTTGTTGTAGAAAACTGCCTTGTTGCCATGGTTACGCATCATAACAAATGTCCAAAACCAAAAAAGTTTCAGTAAAAATCCTTCCGGCTGCACATCATCTGGTAGTACCAATCATCCAAAAAATGTGATTTAGATCCAGAAAAACAGGAATTAAAGTTTCCAAAAGCAAAATCTCAGAATGAAAGTAACAGAGCTGCTCCAACATGCAGCCACCTTGAGCGGCGCAATTCTAGAACTCACTATTTCAATTCTAAAATAAAATAAAATACAATTCTATTTGCAATTCTAGAACTCACTGACCCTCCCTTTCTCTTTAAAATCCATTTTAACCTTCCAAAATCACGTTTTTGGATCATTAAAAGCAACTAATCTACGAGCTAAGCTACGAGCTAAGTTAACAGGTCGAACTCGCAAAAAAAACTTTGTCTTGTTGAAGCTCCAAAATTCACAGTTGAAACCCGTGTTTTTGTGTAAAAAGTTGTTTTACTCTGCAAAAATAAGTCAAGAACTTGTTTACTGACTTTTTATTAAAAGCTTTGTGTTAAAAATGCTATGCTAAAGAGCTGAAACCACACCGAGTGGCCGCCATTTTGAGAACTGAAGAGAGACAGCCCATGTCCCGTCAAGGGGCCTCCCTCCCATTTTTCTTAAAGAGACACGCTGCTCGCTCCCTCACTATCCAATAACAATAATTACTAATTATTGTCAAATTTCAAACAATATTATCGTTTATCACAATAATTTCTGAGACAATTAATCACCCAACAAAATGTGTTATCGTGACAGGCTTAGATGTCACAGAACTGAGTAAAAGACTGAAGTCTTGTTGTTTAACCCAGTGATGGTTCCAAAGTCCACGCTGATCTGGCTCCTTTAACAAAACATCTGACTGAAACAGCAACTAACCTGGGTGTGAGGCTGGACGATGATTTTCAACTAGATGCACAGATTAAATCAGTGATCAAGTCCAGCTTAATCACTTGAGACAACTGGCCACGGTGAAAACACGACATCATTTAAAGATTTTAATCCATGCTTTCATTACAGCACTTTGGCCAACGGTGTTGTTTGTAAAGTGCTTTATAAATAAAGTTTTATTGTATCATGTCAACAAACATCAACATAGCAACACAGTTTTTTAAAAATATTGATAATCATCAACAACGTCAAAATAAATGATGTTTGGTTCGTTTCAGGGGTTTCTGAACACCAACAAGTGACAGAACAATGTGCTTAGAAGCTGAAACGAGTTTCTTCTCTAAGCTTTTGATCAAACTGAAGCCTTACCTGGGGGCCCAGCGTTCCTCTGTTTGAGGTGGTGGTACTTGGGACAGTCTCTCCGTACGTGTCCAACGTCCCCACAATGGAAACGTCTCTCCTTCAAATTCCACTCGTCCTCTTTGGAGTCTTCATCTTTCTTGATGTCCTTCTTCATTCTAAATGTAGAAAAAAGGCAAGAAAAGGTGAAAGGACTGACTTCTTTCGTCTATTTTATCTTTTTCCTAATAAAAAGTTTATTACGAAACACAAACTAGAGCTGCTGCTTTTAAAATATATGAACAAATAGTTTTGTTGTAGATCTGGGCGATATCTCGATATTTAAAAAATATCCATATTTTTCTTTTTTATGATATAAGTTGAGACTATCTCGATATAAAACTATATTGTTTTATACTTGAAAATCCTCCTGCTGTCTCTTTCTCCCACTCGGCCCCCCTCCTTCTCCCTCACTGAACACAAAGCCAGCCCCTCAGCCGCTCTCCCCTCCTGCTCCTGCTCCTGCTCCTGCTCCTGCAGGAGGTGGGCGAACACGTTTAGCACAACAAGAAAACACGACAGATATGAAGAGCAGCTGCTGCTGAGGAGAAACAAAACAATGACTGTTCTTTCACAGCTAGTTTGGATTTAGATTGTCAGATGAGGGGCAGAAAAATGATTTCTGTAGACAATGCTGAAAATAGTCCAGACGAAAGGTTGGAACTACAAATCTTTTTCACCATTTAAACAGCAGAGTGGAGTATGAACTGTGAAGCTGCAGCTCCCAGAGTTTTTTCAGCGTCCTTCCTTGAAACAAACCACGGAACAGAACTCATTTAACCTCTCTTGTGTTTCTTAGCGGCTAACGCTTTAGCTGTCTTGTTCCACAGCTGAGACTGGGACCGTGTCTTTAGCGATATAATAAACTGCTGATTTATTAATGTCGCCACCTCACTTTGTTTCTCTGATAAGGCTCAGCATGGCTAAATGAGCTCTGAGCCGTGGTTTGTTTCAAGGAAGCAGGCTGAAAAAACACTTGCAGTTGCAGCTTCACTGTTCCAAGTGGAGGATCACTTTATCGCAGTTCACACAGGCTTATGAACGTGAAGGTGGCGCAGCTGAATGGACTGTACTTGTATAGCTCCTTTCTACCTTATCAAGACACTCAAAGCTCTTTACTACACAATCTATGTCCTCATTTACCCTTTCACACACTCTGCTAGACCTCTACAAAGAATAATCAGAGCTTTTTCACATTCATAAACCGATGGGACACACATCAGAGGCAATGAGGGTTCAGTGCGTCACTCAGGGACACTTCAGCATGTGACTGCTGGTGGAATCGAACCCCCAACTCTCCCATTGGAGGACAACTGCTCTAACCACTCAGCCACAGCTGCCCTCAGCTGAAGAGCATTATTATTTAATATATGTAAATAAATGTATAAAACATAAACTAATATATGTAAATAGTTTATTTTTAGACATTTGTTTTGTAGAGTTATAGCTGTTTGTTAATAAATGTGCCTGTGTGACAACTGGGACAAAGGACCTACAGACACCCCCCCCCCCCCCCCATTATTTGAATTCCATCATAGTTGGGTTATAAAATAAGCACTGGGTTACACAAAAAAAATCACAATCTGAGTTTTTTTATAAAATTGTCTATATATATCCTTTATGACGTGCTGATGGTGGTGGTGTGTGTGTGTGGGGGGGGGGGGGGTGTATTGATTTTTTAATTAGCTTATTCTCAAAAATTTCCATTTTGTCAAAATTGCAATTGAAACATATTTTCTATGAAACTGATGATTAAAAACACTTTATTCTTAAAAGTCTCAGGATAAAGCATCAGTCAGTCAGGCCTCAGACTGACGAAGCCTCTTGGATGAGGGGCGAAACGTATCTTTTTAACAAAAAAACGAAGTCCAGATGACATGATTCAACCTTTT